ACGCGTGAACCGCGGAGTGGGGGAGCCGCTGGAGGGGCGGCCACTGGAGGGGGCCTGGGGTGGGCGGTGAGAAGAGAGACCCTAACCCGGTGAATCAGAGATGGGGGAGGCCGCAGGGCAGCGCGGGGACAAGCCGCCTGAGGTTAGGGAGGCTGCTCGCGGGGCCTGACTGATTGGCCCCCCACCCCAGCCCTGGGTGCCCGTGGTGCAGCCCCTCCCGTGGACCGTCCCAGCTCAGCCCCCGCCGCCCGGCCGCGTGAAGGAAGGTGAGACTCCAGGATCACCCGACACCCCTCTGCACACTCTCCCCGCTTCCTCGCCTCCAGGGCGGGGCGTCGGGAAAGAGGCCACCGCACCCGCTCGCAGCTTCTGCACCCCCAGGGCGGGGCGTCGGGGAGGAGGCCACTCGGTAGGGGAAGGGGGTACCGGGAAGGGAGCCCTGGCGAAGGCTCCGCGTGAACTTGCTGAACCCGGCCCAGACCTGCTGGAGCTGATGCTGCTGCAGAGCGCGCAGGTGCACCAGCTGCTGCTGAGCGGCCTGGCGGCCACGGCGCTACACTCCCAACCCCGCCCACCCGGATTCGGCGGCCCGCCCGGCCAGCAGGTGTGTGGGCTGGGGTCCATCTGGGGCGCCCCCTAGACAGACAGGACTGGGTGACAGGAGCAGAAGCCAACCCGCCCCTGTGGTTGGGGCTGTTTGCCATCTCTAATGTACCAGGCTGCGTCAGCCTCGTGGGGAGGGGCAGCCCATCAGTCCAGGCCACCCAGGTCTTCCAGGTCTCCCTGCAGGGTGTCCCTCCACTCCCTCTGGACCCAGGAGGGCAGGCTCCGCTGGACCCTGCAGGTTATAAGTGCTCTGTCCTGGGCCTGACACTTTTTAAGAGGCTCCATTGATAGTTGTCAAACAAGTGAATGAATAAAGCAATGATTATCAATAAAGCCACGCACCCCTGGGCCTGCAGAGGAAAGGCTCTTGGAGGAGGGGGCACGGCTTAGAACTAGCACTTGAAAGCCAGGCAAGATTTTTTTTTTGAGAGGTTTTTGCTATAGGGCACGTGCACTCGCCAGAAAGACAGAGAGACAGAGAGAGAGAAAGCGAGAAATCACCCCCCAGGGGAGATGACCATGCCGCAATCCCTTCTCCTCCATTCTCCTCTAGGGATCTTGGGCACGCACGCACATGCGCCCGGCCTGGGTTTAAGCCACCGGCTTCGGGACTTGAACCGAAGTCGACTACATGGGAGTTCAGCGACATAGCCATTACGCTAACTGCTGGTCCCCCAGGCGGGATTTTGACCCTGGGAGGAGGCAAGGGGTGTGCCCACCATCCAGCCTGGCAGAGGCAGTGAGGAGACAGAGCGAGGACACTGTGGGTGCAGGGGCAGGCGTGTGACCCTTATTCAGCCACCATGGGCCACCCAGAAGTAGCAGGGCTGGTGGAGTGGGGAGCTGCTCAACTTGCAGGAGGCAGAGGAGAGTTCATCTGGCCATGGAGTCCAGGCGGAGGGTACAACCTGACGAGCTGCTGCCCCTCAGCCCCAGGTGCTCAGGGGGCCCGCAGATGAGCACCCGCCTTACTTAGGGGGCATAGGTGGGTCCAGAGACTGGATGAGGCCAGGGCAACCTGGTGGACCCCAGCCCCAGCTCTGGAGTTACGCCTGGATTCTAGTCCCTGCTCTGCCGCTTATTAGCTGGGTGACCTCAGACGAGTCGCCCGACCTCTCTGAGCTTGTTTTCCCACCTGCAAGATAAAGAACAAACGCCTCCAAAGCTCTTTGTTTCATTTTGTAATAGAAGACACTCAGTAACTGTTGCCGTTCTTACCGTGAGAATCTAGAGAAAGAGGAATGGGAGCGTGGGCAGAGGGGGCGTAAGGTCCCCTGACAAGGTCATCTCCCCCCTTTGCACAACCCCAGGTATACCTGGAGGGTGAACAGGAAGAGTCTGATGAGGAGGAGGAGCTGGAAGCCCTGGGGGAAGGGCCTCTGGTGTTCCACCACCACTACCTGCCCTCCCCAGGGCCCTCCCCAGGACCCCTGCTGCCCTGGCCAGCCCCGTTCCTCCCTCCTCCCCTGTGCCAGCCCCTCTTCCAGGACGTGCCCAGGGTTCAGCACTGCCCTCCTGCCTCTGGGAGAAGGAGGATGTGAGTGAGGCTGGGGGATGGGGCCGTGGTGTGGGGGGCACAGATCGGGGCCCTGCCAGGACCCTGCCCTGGGGCTGGCGCGTGAAACCTTAGAGAGAGGCTACTTCTGGGCCTCCTCCGATGGGATCCAACTCTTCTCCCCATCTCAGGAGAGCCGTGCCCCCACCCCCGCCCCCCAGTGCCACCGGAACTGTGGGAGCCGATGTCACCCCGGCTCCCG